TCCGTTTAATTGTTACTTTTTTTTTTTTTTGATAACAATCCGTGCACGTAAAATTAAAAAATGGTTAAGAATATTGTCTAGTGAATAAGAGGACCAATTAAAATTGAGAAGTGGGCCATAGAATTCGTCCGGTTTTTTTTCTGTCTTTCACCAGTCAATGGTCCAAAGTTTTTTTTTGTTTTGAAGCAATAGTTTTTTTTTATTCTTCACAAATGGCTCCCCAGCAAAATGAAAATTGCATAGCAAGATTGTTATAGTGTAAATGTAAAATCGTCATTTCGTTTTGAATATTGTATCGCGACACGCGGAATTTGAGGTTAGGCACGTGGAAAAAACACAATCAAACCAACAACAACAACAGGTACGTTCAACTCCCATACAGACGAACAAAAAATTTACTGTTCCTTCCACCCCCAACCTTCCCCCCAAACCCCCCCCCCCAAAGGGGGGGGGGGTTGATAATTAGTGATATTTTCAGTGTCTCTGGTGCTACGCATCACAAAATCAAAAGAATCCAAATGCAATTCTGATCCAATGTTTCAATATTAAAGCGAAGTGACTGTACCGTGTGTCAATTTCAGTGTGAGTTGAACACGTTTAATTTTTCCAGTGCGGAAAATTTTTCTTTTCCATCAATCTCAGTGCGAGTTGATGACAATTTTTTTTCTGATTTTCCAGTACGGGAGATTTCTTTCTATTTCTTTCTTTCTCTGTCAATCTCAGTGCGAGTTGACGACATTTTTTCCAACTTTCCAGTGCGGACAAGTTTCTTTTCTTTCTTGACTCAGTGCGAGCCAACAATTTGTGTTTTTGTCATTCCAGTACGGAAAAAAATTTCGGTCTCAGTGCGAGCCAATAATTTGTGTTTTGTTATTCTAGTGCAGAATAAAACGCGTGTAGCTTCAGTACGAGGCGAATAACCCGTTGTCTGGTTCGGGATACTAGAACTAATATTGAATGAAAGGCAAGCGACCATGCGCAGTGAGTGATAGTTAAAGAGTGACTTTATTGATGTTAAGGTACATGTATATAAAGGCACGCTGATGCGTGGTATATGCTTGCGTAAGCTACAGTATATATTTGCGTGTACGCTACACCTCCTTTCCACAGAAGAAAAGAGTGTATCACAATGTTGTTCTTGTGTACTGATATACACTTTTCTATCTTTTTTTCCTTCACCGTTTTTCAATTTTTTTTTGATTTTTCATGTATATTTTTTTTTTATTGTTTTTCATTATGTTTTTTATGTGTTAATAAAATTCAGAAAGTTTTAAGTTTGCTTGTTTTATTTATAGTTTAATTAATATCTAATGGCTCTATTTTTGTGTATTATTTGTTCTTTATTTGATTTATCGAGATATGTTATGTTTTTGTCATCTATTGCTATTACGTTATATGGACCCTCATATAATGATTTGTATTTGTTTTTTGGTTGTTTTTCGATTTTAATTTTATCTCCAAGTTTTATGTCTAACATGTTAATTTTTCTATCATAAAAATGTTTATTTATTTCTTTGTTTCGTTCTATGAAATATTCTGCTTGTCTGTGAGCCGCTTGTAATTTATATTTAAGTTCATTAATGTAATTTTCGATATTATAGACCGGTTCTACCGTTTCTTTGAATATACTATTGAATTCTCGTGGTCTTTTTCCGAAAATGAGTTCGTATGGACTATATACATTATTGAATGCACTATGCTTTGATGTGTTGTAACAGTATGTGTAATATTGTATATACTCATCCCATTGTTCCATATTTGTTACATAGGATCGAATGTATTCGTTGAGTGTTCTGTGGTTTTTTTTCTATTGAACCAACGGTTTCATGATGGTAAGCGGTCGATATATCGTGTCTTATGTTTAAAAGCTTACATAGTTCGCTTATTAATTTATTTTTGTATTCACTTCCACGATCTGTGCGAATGTTATTTATTGGCCCAAATTTTAACAGAAGTTTTTCGAATATAGATTTAGCTACAGTTTTCGCTGTCTTATCTTGTACTGCTGTTATTATTAAATATTTTGTCAAGTCGCAGATCATAGTGACCGCATATTCGTTGCCACCTTCAGATTTTGTTAGTGGACCAATTGTGTCTATAATGACCGTGTCGAATGGTTTTTGTGGTGTCTTTGTTATTGTCATAGGCTCTCGTGTATGCGAATTTACTTTGTTTAACTTGCATTTTTCACACTCTCTTGTGTATTTAGCTACATCTTTTTCCATTTTTCTCCATTTGTATTTAGTTCGCAGTTTTGCTAATACCTTTTTCTGGCCAACATGGCCTCCTTCGATCGGATTATCATGATACATTTTTATTAAATCAATTTTTTCGTTTTCATTTGTTATTGTTTTTATTGGTGTCGTCAGTGAAATTGTTAGTTGATTAAGTACCATATTGCATGCATGCTTAAATTCTTCCACGGTTACCCTTTCAAATATTTTGTCGTCTTGTGGCCATCTTATTCTTTTTATTTTCTTATCACTGGATAGTTTTGCAATCCTGGTAAGCAACCTCTCTAGAGAGATGTTACCATTAGTGATGTATTCTTTTGGGTCGACCCTGAATAAAATTTTATTTGACTTTTTCTGTGCACTTATTTCGTTTTTGTTATTCGTAATTATTTTGGGTACCGATTTCAAATGTCTTTCATCAATTTCTTCTGTGACGGGTACATAATCAATGTCTTCGTTTTCTTTATTTTTATTTTCTTTTTCTTTTTCTTGCGCATTTTTCCTTGTCATTGAACGTGTAATCGGTAGTATTTGTTTCGTGTTTTCTTCGTACACCTTTCGTAGTGAGTCGATGTGGATTGAGACCGGTTTTTCCGTAGTTGTCATGGTTATATTGTTTTCATATATTTTTTGTCAGGTCATTGATCGTAATTCGTGACAACGCGTCCGCCGTCACATTTAATTTCCCCGGTATGTAAACAATTGTGAAGTTGAATGTCTCCAAATCCATGCGAATTAGAGATAGTTTTGACGTGGGGTTTTTTAAGTTGTAGAGGTGGACCAATGGTTTGTGGTCCGTTCGAATAGTAAAATGTTTTCCCCAAATATATGGTTCGAAGGTTTTTACGGCGAAATGTATGCCTAGTAATTCTTTTTCAATCACGGGTTTATTTAATTCTCCCTTTTGAAAAGCTCGGCTTATAGAAGCAATGGGTAAGTCTGCATTGTCAACGTTTTGACTCAACACGGCTCCGCATGCGAAATTTGATGCGTCTACTGTTATCATGAATTCTTTGTTGAAATCTGGATATTGTAGGATTGGTGGAGTAATTAATATTTCTTTTAGTGTTTTGAATGATTTGTCACATTCCTCTGTCCATTCGAACGTGATATTTTTCCCTGTCATTTTGTGTAATGGTCGAGCAATTTCTGCGAAATTAGGAATGAATCTACGGTAGTAGTTCATAAATGCAGTGAAACTTTTGACCTCGTTTTTATCTTTTGGAGTTGGATATTTTCGTATAACCTCTGTTTTCAAATCATCAGGTAAGATGCCCTTGTCGGTGCATTTATGACCAAGAAACGTAATTTCACACTTGAAAAAGTTACATTTTTCAGGATTTAATTTCAAATTGTGTTTTCTACATCTGTCAAAAACAGTTCTTAAATTTTCAATGTGGTCTGTTTCGCTTTTACCCAGTACTATTATATCATCCACATATAGGAAACACTGTTCGGGTTTGAGGCCCGAAAATGCAATTGCCATCATTCTGCAAAAAGAATTTGGTGCAATGTTTAGTCCAAATGGTAAGACCTTCCACTGAAAGATACCTTTTTCGGTGGTGAATGCTGTTATTTCACGTGATTTTTCGTCTAACGGTATTTGGTGGAATCCAGAAAATAGATCCGATGTGGAGAAGTATTTAGCTTTTCCCAAACCGTCAAGTATTACATCTATTCTTGGCAACGGGAACTTGTCCGGTATTAGCTTTTCATTGATTCTGCGGTAATCAATGCACATACGCCACTTTCTTTCTGCATTACCACTCGTTTTCTTCGGAACTAAAATTATTGGGCTATTGAACGGAGATAAACTCGTCTCTATTAACTCATTTTTTAGTAATTTATCCACTTGTCTGTCTATTTCTTCTTTTTGTCCTTGGGCTAGTCTGTAGTTTTTCGTATATACTGGTGTGTCATCTTTTGTCCTTATTTTTTGTTTATAAAAATTGTTTGTTGTCATTTTGTCTGTCTCTAGTGTAAAAATGTCTGTATATTCTTTACACAAGTTCGTGATTAACTTTAGTTTGTTAGTTGGAGTATTTTTTGCGAATATTTTATTCAACTTTTCCATTCGTTCGTCAGTTTTTTCATTTTTCTCTATTACAAAAATATCATATTTATCTATTGTTTCTATTTTGCTTATGCTATTTTGAATAACTACTGCTTCGTCGTTTGTGTTAATTACTCTAATCATTGGTTTTTCGTTATGAATAACCGTGTTTGCAATGAACACTCCGGGTGCTATTTCCTGATTCTGGATAAATGATGTCTTTTCGAAATGTTCAATTTTAAATGTTCTGAATACTTCACAACGGGCCGGAATTGCAATTGAATTTGCATTTGGTCCCCCATATATTGGAATCGTTATTTTACAGTTGTTTGTTCGTATAGTGAATTCCATTTCATAGTAATCTAATTTACAGAAAAATGGCTGTATAAAATCCTTACCTATGATTCCATCCGATGGTATCGGAAATTCTTCATCAACTACGTTAAATTTATGTTTGATTATTTTATTTCCTAATTTTAAGTTCACTATCGTTGTCCCTAGTGATTTTATGCTGTCGTTAGTAATTCCCTTCAATTGAATTACTTCATTTGTGTTAATTTTTAAATTGTTTTCTATTGCTACTGATTTTATTAGTGACACATCCGCCTGTGTGTCTACTAGAAATGTTAAAATATTATCGTTAATGTCTGTTTGTATTTCTATAAAATCTTTAAGGCTTAAATTTAATGTTAAAATTTGAATTTCATTTTTGTTTACATTCGTCTTTCTGTCATGGACACAGTGTTGTTTTGTTGTCCCCGCTGTGTCGTCGGGGATTGATCGTTTTCCTCCTCGATTACACGTACGTAGCGAGAATTATTTCCATCTTGATTTCTGTTATTTTGGTATCGGCCATGATTGTTGTTATTGTATTGATTGTTATAGCCCCTTCTTCCACGTCCGCGAAAATTTTGTTTTGTGTTTCTGTTGCGATTGTTGTAATTTCTATTATTTTCATTTTGTCCACGGTAATTTCCACGATAATTTCCGTTTCCACGAAATGTGTTGAAGCCATTCATTCGCTGATTTTGATGATTGCCCCTATAATATAGGACCTGTGCTTCATTGTTTTCAACATTTGATTCTATAATCAGTTTTTCTACGACCTCTTTTGGTTCTTTAAAATCACTGGATGCTAGAATTGATTTTACTAAATTAGTTTTAGCCGATAAACGACACATCTCTACCGTTTTGTCTATCGTGGTTTTCTCTGCTAGATGTTGATTCATCCCTTCGGATATATAGGCTCTTCTCAGTTGGTCTGCAAGCTCTTCTGCCTGTTGTTGAAATTTCGTCATTGCGTTTCTTTTGGATCGTAGGGCTAAGAATCTTCCCAGTACTACTTTACTCGATTCTGGTCGAATTTTTGATTTTAATGCCGAAATTATATTTTGTACGCTAGTTATTTCGGTCGGCATCGCCTCTGGTGCACGTCCCTCTAGTTTTGTTTTTATAAATTTGATTAGATGTGGCTTATCGTTATCTCCTGACGCTGAGTCGGCAAGTTCCAATGCTGTTATGAATGCATTGAGTCCATTTGGGTCTCCCTTGTATGTTGTTGATATTATTTTAGAGATATTACTCAAAAATGTGAAAGTCTCGTTGGCTGGCATTTTTACGTTTATTTTTATGTTATTTTCAGTATTTTGTATATCCTCTCTTCCTATTTGTTTCGTTAGGTCAGTTGGTACGTTAATGTTTTTATTTAGTGTTCCAAGACTTCTTATTAAGCGATCTCTTAATTTTATTAACTTATCTTTTGTGCTTCTTTTTAGTTCATCGTCATTTGTTTTGAATACGGGTCTACAAAATTCCACAATTTTATTATATATTTCAACAATGTTGTTTGTTCTTATTTCTATTACTGTCGCTTCTTTTGATGCGTTTTTTCTTGCTATTAGTTTTTCCCAAATAGCAAATTCATATGTCAGAGTATAATATTTATTATAATCAAATATGTATGTTGTCATTTCGCAAAATATTTTTCGTTTCGAATAGATTTCCGCATGTTTGTAATTTTATGGCAAAATTTCAATTTAAAATGCGTATATGCGTTAAATTTTCAATTAACTTTCAATGCCGTGGGATATTTGTTTGAACGGATCGTGGGGCAAAGGTTTATGATTTTTTTTATGTTGTTGTTTATCTCCTCAGTTGATTGAAAAATACATTGAATATTTTAATTTTTATATTCCACGTGTACTCTATGAATTTTGCTCAGATCATAAAATTCAATTAGATATTCAAATGTTCAAGAGTTGAGTCTTTGCTTATACTCTTAGTTGCGAATTTAATTTAAAATACATGGAATTTTATGATTTTGTTTCATGCATATCAATTGATTTTGTTCAGATCGTACAATTTAATAAAGTGTTTTAGATGCGTAAAATTTAGTCTAAGCTTATCTGTGTTTCTTTTATGTTCCGCCTTTGTTGTCATCCGCCCGATGCTCTGTCCGTTTTACGATTCTTCTTTGTGCGTCTGTTCATTGTTGCTACCTTCCTAGCATGTGTTGCTGATTATTTTTATTATCATGCATGCTTTCGTTATTTCTGCGTTTCGTTTCGCCATAAATTTTAAGTTTTATTGCTGTGTCTCGCTGTTCATTTTTGCTTGATTTGTTCGATCATCGTTTTGAATATTGATGCTACGTTCAATTTTATGTACTTTTCTTGTTCTGTTTCCTTCATATTTTTAAAGTTTTCATCTATTTCTTCCAGCTTCATTATAACCATTTGTTTTGCTGTTTTTTCGAATAATTCACTTATTTTTGTGTCTTTATGTAAACTATTTTCACTTTGTATTACATATTCTGTCACTGATTGGTCTATTTCGTTATATAGTTTGATTAATTCTTCGTTTTTAAGTTTTAGTTCTTCCTTTTCCGTCATTTTTGTTATTTATTTTGTTTCCATTGTTATTTTATTTTAGTGTTCGTATGTTACGTTATGTCTGGCTAAGCAACGTTCTAGAAAGCTCATTTTATTTTTCAAGTAATTTATCATTGATAAAAGCGTTGGTTGATTTAGCACAGTCAAGTATTTTATCATTTCAATTGTTTCAATATATTGTTTGAATGTATGGTAATAATCAACAGGTCTTGCTTCGTTTTCGTTAATTGCTTTGTCTATTATGTTTTGCACTTGCTGTAATGCATTTATGTTTCTTTGTTCTGGGAACTCCATTTTTCAGTCTGAGTCTTCACTGTCTTCTTTGCATAATTCTCTTTCGATATGTTGTATTTTATTTTCCCAATATTTTTTGATTTTGTTTAGTTGTGTAATGTTCAATTCAGTTGTGTTCAATTTATTTAGTTCTATTTTCATGCATTTTGCTTCGATAAATTGAATTAGTAAATGAGAGTTGTTAACCTGTTTAGCGTCTCTTTGAGAAATGGAATCGTCAATTGATTCTTTTAATATGTCGATTGTTTCTGTTTCGAAATCCATTTTAATTTATAAATGTTCGTTAGAATTGTTATGTTTCATTATTACTCTTGCGTTATGTATTTTATAGCCTCGTTTACACAATTTTACACATTTGAATAAAATTACAATTGTAATCAGTATCACTATCACGATGAGAAATGATTGGATTTCATTGATTTCGTCGATCACTTCACTGTTATCTGTAAATATGTGCACTATTGGTTTTATTGTTGTTGTTGTTGATGTCGTTATTGTCGGTGTGTGCATTGTCGTTGTACTATTTGTACTTTTATCAAAGAAACTGAATAATGTTTTATTCATTTTGCTGTTGACTCTCATCCTTTACAAAAACTGCCGGACTACGCCATGTCTGGTTCGGGATACTAGAACTAATATTGAATGAAAGGCAAGCGACCATGCGCAGTGAGTGATAGTTAAAGAGTGACTTTATTGATGTTAAGGTACATGTATATAAAGGCACGCTGATGCGTGGTATATGCTTGCGTAAGCTACAGTATATATTTGCGTGTACGCTACACCGTTACATTTTTTTGTGAGTAAAAATCGAGTGTGTCATCGATTCAAAGGATTTGTTGATATCATAGTGTTTATCGAAAGTCAAATTTGTGGTGTGCAGTTTCCAAACGAATACAGCGTGGTTACGCTTTGGCTGCACACGGATCAGGTTTCAACATAAACACAATAAATTTCATTATTTATCGTTTTTCAAACAAATTCGTCGTGATATCGACAGTAAACAAATCGAGACAGGACTCGAACAAAGAAAGAACATATTGTGACAAATTTTCGAGTCAGTGAACAATTCGAACGGCATTTCAGTATTCATATTGCACACTATTCCATTTGTCGAGCTTAGCTCAACAAAACCGTTCGATCACATTTCAAACAAAAACTCGAACAACAACAACCGAACCAAAGAAAGAGATTTTTGATATTTCTGTCGCTGCACCGGACTCGTTCAATGTTCTCTCCACCAAAGGTTCAGTAATAAGTACCGAAATTTTTCGGCCGATAAATCTGAAGTTTCTATTATTATTATTATTCTGCACCATACAGCGTTTCTTCGCCAGAGGT